TTGGCTTCACTTTCCAAGAGTAGTGTATCAAATGAAATAGCATAACGTTTCTTCATTAAGACGCTATCGAAAATGTCATCTTTACTTACTGAATCCCCAAATCTTCGATCATCTTTAACAATATTAGTATAAACAAAATCCGGTTCCTCATAGAATTCCTTCCATATACGTCGGTAATCTGCTGGACGTGTGTCAGTAATATTTTCAATTGCTTCACCATAACCATTTTCTTTAGTATTTTGTGTTTTGGATATGATAATATCTTGAAATTCCATTACATCACGTCGTGATAAGCGCGCACCAATAATTCCAATAACAACACCATCACGCTCTATTTTAGTTTTATCCTTTTCTATAATTCCCATATTTTTACGATTACCATCATTAATAAATTCAGAGTGTGAAGAAACTGATAGGAGCGCAGATAACTGAGTCCAAGAAAATGGAAACATTTTTTATTTGTTCAGAAAATTCATATATATACACTTACTTTAATTTCGTCAAAACTGAGTACATTTGAAAGTACTAGTGGTGGCTTTTCTTTATCAGTTCCAACTTCCATAAAACCACTACAGCCTTTTTCACGACTTAGGAGTAAAAACTTGTCATTTTTACCATAAAAACTGACACATCGTTTAGTGAGAAGACGTTGTACGAAATCTGTGAGTGTTAGTTTCGTATAGAGGTCACGTTCACGATTATTTCCTTAAAAATTATATTTTTAAAGAAATTAAAATTAATTTCACACCGAACGAAAAATATTACAATGAAATTAGCAAAAGGTCTTTAGCAATACTACATTATATATACATTATATTCGACATTTTTAGTGTAATTTTCCGTGATTAATTCCTAATTAAGCTAAAAAGCACGAAAGCTCTTTATACGGGTATTCAAATTTCCCTAAAGAGATCTAAATTAAATACACTGCTTTAATGAAGGCAATGGGAACATACTATTAGAACACCATAGCAAAATTGATATTTGCCAAAAAAAAGGGTTTTAAAGATAAATCTTATTATTTTATTAAGTAAAACCGTATCTTTTTCAATTCTGACCAAGATATGCCTTGTATATGGACACTCTTTCTTTTGTGTCCTGGTTGTTTGTTCTGGAAAAAGTTATCAATCTGGAGAATATCATTGTAACTAATATATTTGAAATATTATATTAAAAACATAAACATATATATATCTAAATTATATATTCTTTTTATTTTTACTGTGAATTTCTGTTCAACATGGAAATGTGATTAGCAAAAGGAATCTCAAGAATATATTAACAAATAGTAAATTAATTTTCAAACTCTTTTTGGTTACAATATTGTCATTTAAATGGTAGATTTAGGTTAATGTTTGATAATGAAGGGGAGTTAGGGGTGCCACTCTAAAATAACACATAAAATGCCATTATTTAAATGTCAGATATAAATTAATGTTTCTTAATGGAGGAGAGTTAGAGGCGCCACTCTAAAATAATACATAAATTGACATTGTCAACTTTGGATTAACGTTGATTAAGAACTTTACTCTTTGAAAGAGTGAGTGATACAATTCGTTTTTCGTAGTTTAAATATTCAACTTTTCTGAGTGCTTCCCGTGAGTGTTATGTATTGGAGTCATTAGAATTTATTAAAATTTTTTTCAAATAACTCAAAAACTGAGAGTAGCTTGGGATAAAACAAACAGACGGACATTCAAACACGGCTAATATTTCTTAGTATAATTGAAATATACTAAAACTAAATGTTTTATACTATGTTCAGACAGCCAAATTTTTTTAATTTTGTAAAAATGAAATTAAGTTAATTTTGAAAGTGTTTATACTGTCCCAAATTAAAGATATCATATGTTTTTTGTTTACAAATCCAATGTTAAAAATTACATGCTCCAAACACCATTTGTACATGGGAAATTTTGAAATTTATTTATAACTATACAGAATGACATTCAATAGTTTTATTAAATTTAGTGGATTTCAAGTATCTGAACTATTATTTTTCAATCTACTTTAAATCAATAACAGTTACAGTTCTTTCTCTATATTCAAATTTCAAAATTTGCTATATTTTTAACATATTTTCCCGGTTTTATTAAAGTCAACTGTCATTGATATTTATTTTAAAAAAATGTCACTTTTCCGTTATCTCAACTTTATCTTTTGCTTGAAATTTAGCTTTCGCATAGTTGTATTTGAAATATCCTTTAATTTTAGCCTTCGTTTCAACGAAATTAAGACTGTTTTCCTTAATTTCTTTCTAACCTTAAGAATTTTCGCTGAAACCAAGATATAATTAAGATTTTTGCGAAATTAAGGTGTGTCTGAACATAGTACTAGCTATTTGACTTTTAATATGCCACTGGTTGATACAAAATTTGATACTATATTCTATATTATTTATTTACACATTTATTTTTATATTGAAAGTAATAAATATTTTTTTTCCTAAGCGATGTTAAAAAGTATAGATATTATGGCCGTGTGCGAGTTCGAAATAGTAAATTAAGGTAGTAAATTAAATAGTAAATTGTGGGAAATAGTAAATTATGTCGGTATGGCAGAGAATGTTGGTATTTACCAGAATTTCGAGTAGGGTAAATTAGATAAAAATTAGGTAAATTAGGTATTATCATTGTGAAAATTTTATATGATGTTTAATAAATAAATTTAAAAACTTTTAAATAAAAATAATAAATAAGTGCAATAAATAAATATTTACATAAATGCAGTGGAAATATTCCTAGGAAATTTCAATTTGCTTTACTTCAATTTACTCGAACTCGCACACGGTCTATATATGATATATTGTTTTTCTATGTCAGTATGTCAACACAAAATATTTTTTGTTTGTGCAATTTTGACGTACGTTATTTTGCACGATAGTGTTGTATATGTGCAAAACACAGCTGCCAAGCTTTGAGAGGAAGTATTTAGTAAAAAAAAATAAACAAAAATGTGTGAATATGTATTGTTGTCGCTGTTTAACAAAGAAAAAAATCATGTAAATAGTCACATAAAAACAAAGTAAACCGGCGTTCATCGTAATTTTAATTGTTAGTGAATTCCGAACACTTATGAAATTGCAGCTATTTTCGGATTGTTTTAAATTGTTTAAGAATATATTTTATACTATTTAGTTTAATATTAATAAAAATTATTGCGGTTAGATAAATAATGGTATGAATCATAAAAGAATATATTTAATGTATTACCGTATTTACACTTGTGCTCCAAGAAATCAATATAGAGACTCAGTACGCGTTCATGTATTACTGGATAAGCCGATGCAATTTGTTGTTCAATTATTGGATAACGATCCTTTGGTTGACTGATGATGCGACAAGTGTTAGTACCGAACTGCCAAAAATATTTATATGTGTAAAAACGTATGCAAAAGATATAATATATGCATAAAAATGCTTACCTCAACTGGGAAATTGGATGACCTTTTTATAACTTCTTTAATATTAATATTACTTGTGTCTGGCTTAGTAACAGTTTCGCACTTCTTTAATAAATTCTTACCAAATTCAGTAAGTTTAATCGCTGCACCGGCTATTGGCCAAATTTGTTCAAATTCTTGCCCAAATAATGACATTTTCAATTATTTACACAATTCTCCACCAAAGCAACAATTCATTAATATTTTGAAATGTAAAGCTCCCCCGTGAGTGGCGTACGATTGATGAATGCGCAATTATTAGAAAAATCAAAGCTTTAAGTTTTTAAAGCTGTTACTGTGCATAGTAGTAATATTTTGCACTAACAATTTAATAATTTTACATATGTTTACTGTCAAAACAGTTATTTATAAAATTGTATTTGATTTTGAGTTTGACAAGAAAATAGAGTTGCCAACTTTGTAATATTTTAAATTAAATTTATCTCTATCAAGTAATGGGAGGCCTTTTCTTTTGTAAGCGTGTCACTAAAGAACAAATAGAATAAGCACTACTTTTGATAGCAATTCTGGAAATTTTGTTAGGCTTATATATGCAAAACACGTAATAAAATTGAAAGTTAAAGTTTCGAAAATAAGTAATAATTCTTTGCAAATTATTGTTAAGTATATTTTTTTTACATGATTGTGAATAAAGATATAAATAGAAAAAAAAACGTATTTGTTTTGAACAATGACGACACGACATACGAATAATTAACAGTTAACTGGAAACTTCGTAGGTACTTCCAAAAGTCGTTCACAATAGACGAATTTTTAGTCTTGGCAACCATGTGATTTGAGCTGCTTATTAGTTAAGGGCAAAGAATATCTTTACAAGAACGGAAACTCCGCCCACTTCGTGAGAGTGCATTTGAAATTGTTTTTGAAAACTTATTTTTTATAACATTTCGGCACACGTATTAAATACATGTGATCTTACCACGATAACATCAAATTGCTCTCTTTTTAGGGTTGCAGTATAATAATTTGCTGCTACTTGCTAATCATATGTTAATTTTTTAGTAATATAAAAAACTTATGCTTCCTTATTTGGTTAATAATATCACATTACGTAAACAAAATATATATTGTAACAAATAATATATGATAAATAAATATATAAATTAATATATAATAATTTAAATCAATTAATTTAAATCAGCTTAGTTTACTTAATCATGTAATATATATTCAGTAAATTAATTTTTGTTGCTTTTTTCATATGAATTTTATAGTATTTTAATTTATAATGTTTGGCAACAAACTTTTGTAGAAGCAAATATTTTAATTAAATAAAAAGAACAGTTTTGAATATATCTTATTTAGTGAGTTATATTTTCTTATATATTTTTTGAGCATGTAAAACATTATTTCAAAAACAATTTTGATATAATAGCATTAAATACCGTTTTGATGTGAAATTAATAACAAAGATTGAAGCTACTACCAATTCACTTTTTTATACGGCAGCACTTAAGTGATCCATGATAAATTGTGTTTCTCTCCGAAGACTTAATTTTTAAATTTAATGCCAAAAAATATGTTGATGAGGAAGGGTGTACGCGCATTCTCTTTAAATGTGTGGTACGTATTATTGCCTTGCATGCATTTCTAATTGATTAGTAACAATAAATCTGTTGATAAGGGAGGATGTGCGCGCATCCGCTCTAAATGTATGTGGTGAATAATATTTATTATTAATTTACGTACATTACTGTGTGATTAGTGGTGCCAAACTTCGTTACTTTTGGGTATTCGTACCTACCCGTTACTTTTCGAGTATGTATTCGTTACTCAGTATTCGTTACTCAGTATTAGTTACTCAGTATTCGTTACTGCGCTTTCGTTACTGCGGTTTCGTTACTTCACGATTCCGATTAACGGCGCTTAGGACCGTGGGATGCTTAATGTTTAAATGCTTTCTCAAATTTGAAGTAGAACCACCTTTTATTGAATAGTTTGTTCCACATAATCTGCATTTAGCTTTTTCACTTCCTACTGGTTCAAAATGAATCCAAATTTCACTTTTTTTATTATTAATATTTTCACACATTTTTAATAAATTTGAAAACGAACAAAATTTTTGAATAAAGTAGTTGTTATTAAACCGCGAAAACAGCTGTTGAAAGTAATCGTTACCAAGTACTCAAAAGAGTAGGTAAAACGAATACTACTCATTGGTAAAATGAGTAAAAGTAACGAATACAATAAAAAGTTTGTATTCGTTACTCCGGTATTTCTTGAGTAACGAATACAAAGTAACGGATAATTACTTTTTTGGCACTACTATGTGTGATCAGTAGCGAAAAATCTATTGATAAGAGTGGGTGCATGCGCATTCATTGTCGGATTTATGAGTTTTTCTTATGAAGATATATTTTTATATAAAATTTAACAATTTTTAAATTTTAACATTGAAAAATTTTAATTTTATATTATGATTATAAAATATATTTATATATAAATACTAAAGTATTTAAAAATATTAGCTAAGTTTAATTAAAAGAAGTACAAGTTGTTTACATAATTTATTATTGTTATAAAATGAAATAGACTTGATTATTTACCAGAATTAATGCAAGATTTAAACGAGATATATGCTATACATTTTTAGTTCATCTGTTTGATGAATATTATAAATTTTTACATAATATAAAAATTAAAAACATATTTATTTTATTTGTGTTGATTATGTATAGAATATATGAATATTTTCTTCAGTATTTAAATGACCTTAAAAACATAAATTTATTTGGGATATGATTATTATCATGTAGCGCCTTATGTTTATGTTTTAAATATTTTTATCTCAATGTGAACATAAAATGCACACCTACTAATATTTTAAAATAAATAGTAAAATACTTTCGCTAAACTGTTATATTAGAAATATGCATAGAACTTAAATGAAAATTTATTTTCTTTCATCATTATTGTGTGGAAATTTAAAAAAAGAACCATAACAAATTTTTTACATCCCTTGTATTTTCTTATTTCTACATTTAGTTTATTTAGCTATGTAGTTTATTCGACCAAAGTTCAAGATTTGGTATGCATTTTCCACACCACCCAAGAGGTATGCATAAAGGTGCGTTACCGAGTTTATGTGCCGGTTCCCCAAGAGGCATATCCACCATTATATATTGGTTATAATTTTTTACAGACTTTTACAAATACAAAATTAACAGAATAATAATTACAATACTTTTAAAAATTAATTGCAAATTTAAATATACATAAACTAAAAGCAAAAAAATTATTAAAATAAAAATTTAATTTATATGTAAAAGTCAACTGAATATCATGTGGAAAACTAAGCCTATGAATGCGTTACACGCAAGAGCTTTTGCCTATAGTCAGGTGTATTCAGAACCCTATTAAAAAATTTTAACAGGAAATACATGCGTACCCTTATAAAAAGAGTTAAAATACTGTCTGTTTTGCAGTTTTGACAGCAAACATATGGACGTATATTTTTTAATTTTTGGTATAAAAATTGTGCTATACCTACTTTTTGGTAACTGCTATTAAAGTGTTTGCAAAATTTTAACTACTTTTTGTTAAATATTTGCGCAGTAAATTTTGTATGATTTGGCGCAACGAAATTTTATATTACTCTCAAAAAATCAAAACCAAAAAACAAAACCACACTCTTTCTTACAATCTTCATGGTAAACTTTTTGAAATATTCAGTTCTCAAAAGTACTCGAAGCATCGGAAAAAGGTGAAAAGGTGAAAAATTTCAATGATTTCAGCTGGTGTTAGTGCACTTTTCACTAACACTTTCAAGAGCTCTACGGCAAATTGTTGTTGTGCGAAAAAACAAATTTTAGTTCACAATGGAGTTGCCGTTCTTGTAAGGTATTCTTTGGTTAAGGGATTTCAAAAAGGTTGAACTAATTAAGCCAGAAGTGTTGTTGTTTGATACGTTATTTTTAAAACAAGCGGTTGTTTTTTTTCTGGTATGCTTACAAAAAAAGACCTAGTAATAAACTTATATATATAGATATAAAAATATATAAAACTATGTATATAAATTATTATTAATAATGTTTTTCTAGCTATGTTTAAACTATTGTATTCAACTCGATTAATTGTATATTTATTTTGTATAATTTTTGCCATTTAAGTAATTAATAAAGATAAAAATAGTACATGTGGGCTACCGCCTAAAATGTGTGATCCTTGGATACTAAGCTGGTAATTGACGACTATTCTTTTAAAACTGTAAATGATTTAATTGCTCTTGCGACAGCTATAAGGAAAATATTTTAGTAAGAGTTTAGCACACAGATTCACTCTTAAAAGTAAAATGAGCTAACGCTTATTATAGATACCCTCTAATAATGGCACTAATTATACTTTAATGAAACGCTTAAATATATCAATTTCTTTCATTTATTGTCATTTTTTGTGTTCATTATTCAGAATGCATTAAACATTTTTTTGCATAATCCGAAATATGTATAACGCCATATTTTTCTGAAGCTATATGCAAATTGTTGCCGTTCACCATATCGCTGTTAATATATGGATTATGTAGCTCTGTAATAAGTGTACTACAAGCAGTGGACGAGTCTCCGGTAGACTTTAACATTTTCTAAAAAAAAATACATATTAACTCAAAATATTTTTCTGTGTATGTTATATGTATTACCATCCAAAACTCATTACCAGGTTGAGCATTGCCATCCCAAGGATATGAAATTATTACAAGCATATTTTCCAACTCAGGGGCATTCTTAAATTAATAAAAAAAAAATTTGACATTTACTTCAAAAAAAAAAAACTATCTTTAAATACATACCAATTTCTCAGCCGGATTACGTTTAGATAAAAAAGTTTTAATGCCTCCATTGGGATGTTTCTCACATTCTAAAAAACCATTATTCTTAAGTTCGCCCCATTCATCCAATTTAAACCATGAAAAATGTACCACTGCGATGTGTGGTAATTTTTCCATTAAAACCTTTAAACGTTCGGTAAATGTTTCTAGAAATATTTTCTCCTGCTGTTCAGCAACTCTCCACACGCCTAAACCAATACCCACAAGATGTATAAAGGCATTCTTTTTAGCTTGTGCTGCCTTGGCTTCGCTTTCAAGTAGTAAAGTATCGAATGATATAGCATAACGTTTCTTCATTATGACATTATCAAAAATATCATACTTTGCTCTGGCATCACCAAATCGTTTACCATCTTTCTTAATAGCCGAGTAAAGAAAATCAGATTCTTCATAGAATTCCTTCCAGATGCGTCGATAATCTGCTGGACGTGTATCAGCAATATTTTCAATTGCTTCACCATAACCATTTTCTTTAGTATTTTGTGTTTTGGATATAATAATATCTTGAAATTCCATTACATCACGTCGTGACAATCGTGCTCCAATAATTCCAATAACAACACCATCACGCTCTATTTTAGTTTTGTCTTCCTCTACGATTCCTAAATTTTTGCGATTTCCATCATTAATAAATTCAGAGTGTGAAGAAACTGATAGAAGTGCTGATAACTTAATTGAAGAGATGGAAATATTTTTCATTAGTTCTCAGAAAATTCATATATATACACTTACTTTAATTTCGTCAAAACTTAGTACATTTGAAAGTACTAGTGGTGGCTTTTCTTTATCAGTTCCAACTTCCATAAAACCACTACAGCCATTTTCACGATTTAAGAGTAAAAACTTATCGTTCTTACCAAAGAAACTGACACATCGTTTAGTGAGAAGACGTTGTATGAAATCAGTTAGTGTAAGTTTTGTATAGATTTCTAATTCTCGTTTATTTCCTTTAAATATTAATTTAAAAATAAATTATAAAAATCTTTTTGACACTAAAACACAAAAAGTGACAAACAGCCGCAATTATTATTAATGAAATTTCGAATGTTGTAGTTAGCTAGATTATTAAAAATATAATTTTATGTGGTCCGTTAATATTGTTAACCAAGAATTGGGCATGGTTAACGTAGAAAAAAAATAGATATTTCTATGCTTTTGATTATAATATACTGTTATTTGTCAGGTATATTCTAAAGCCTAGTACTAACATTTATTTTTCACAAAGATTTGATATGAAATTTCGTATAAAATTTTTCCACAGAATTTAAGCATTGTAGAAATTTTTTTTATAAAGATATTAATGTCAACTTTGCGTGCTAAATTAGTACTTCTTTTAGTTTTCAAATTCAAGTTTGCCAATTTATTTATTTATTTATTAAACATTTTAGGACCCGAGTTTGATTCCTGGTGCTTGCAGTCTCAAAAAATTATTTACGAATAATTAAATAAAAGAATTATTTCCAATATTATTGGAATTATTTGGTAATACTCGAAACAGCTGCATGGTCAGCAAAAAATTTAATTAATTAAAATAACATTAAATAAATTTTTGCTGTTATAGTTCATTACTGTTCGAAAAACTTCTTTATTAAACATTTTATAAAATTTTCACAATGGTAAAACCTAATTTATATCTAATTCATCCCACCCGAAATCCTGGTAAATACCAACATGCGCTGCCATACCGACATAATTTACTATTTCCCTCAATATACCATCAATTTAATCGAACTCGCACACGGCCTTAATAATGGAAAATTATTTTTAGGCAGTTGCTTAAGTAGGGGGATTGCAATGAAGTATTTTAAGCTTTAATTAATTCCAGCCTTTATTAAGCAGGAAGGTTAGTAATTTAATTTATAACTTATTGATTAAAATAATTATATTTTTGTTTAAATGTGTTGACATATGAGTGGTGTAAAAGATAACATATATAATATTTAGTTGTGTTAAATATAAGATTTAGTTATGTTAAACATGTAAACTAAGATTGTTGTGGATACCATGGTGTTATATTAATACACTGCGCGGGAGATCGAGTGTTCAAAGTGATAATTATACGTTTCAAAAAAAAATGTCTGCGTCTATTCGTTAGACCAAGGTTTAAAATTTAGTCAAACAGGCAAATATGATTTTATAGTGCTTCTAATGCCTACTTAAGTTTTATAAAATGTTAGCAATATTTCGTTTAAAATATATTATTATATATATTAAAATATTATAATAACAATATATATTAAAATTATTAATATTAATATTAACATAATATATAATAATATATATTATAAAAATAATAATATACATTATAATAATATTTATTATATTAAAATAACAAGATTTTAACAAAATTATTTCAAAACACAAAAAGAAACTGCACAGGTTTTGCTTTTTTGTAGAGAATACACAAACCGTACATCTTCACTTACATGTCTAGAAACTTGCACAACAGTGTATACAGAAGCTTAAATGCTCACGATAGCACCACACAATAGAAAATAACGAAAGCATAAATAAGGCCGCTTCTCTCCAAAAAAAATTTGTTTACAAGTCTCATGTTCTCTCTCTCATGCTCATTAAAAACAATATAAGCAATGCAAGTTTTGCCGGTGTTTTGCATTGCCACATTAGTTAATTCCGAGAAATTGTGAAATCAACAGTTGTTTTTTTGTCGGTTTGATGGTTGTTTTTTGTGCGCGTTTATTTTGTTAAATTAAAATTATTTGTATAGAGTTTTTGTTTTAATAATTATTAAATCATACCATATTTGCATTTGTGTTCTAAAAAATTCATATAAAGACCAAGTACGCGTTCATGTATTACTGGATAAGCTGATGCAATTTGTTGTTGTATCACTGGATAACGGTTTTTTGGTTGAGATATAATGCGACAAGTGTTTGTGCCAAACTAAATTAAATAAATTTTTACATTAATAAATTAGAGAAATTCAATAACAATTTAAATTCAATAACAATTTACTTAAGCACCTTTATTGGAAATTCAGATGATCTACTAATTATATCGTTTATGTCAATTTCACTTGTGTTAGGTTTTAAAATCGTCTCGCATTTTTTCAACATTTTCTCACCAAAATCGGTAAGTTTAATTTTTGTATCAGATTTTGGCCAAATTTTTTCAAACTCTTCTCCAAATATTGACATATTAATTTTATTTACCGAACCGTTACTTATCATTCAACGAAATTCAGTCAAAATGCACTTGCGTGCTGCGTATTTTGTTTATATTAAAAATCTTACAAGCTTAAAGCTTTTTAGATGTTTTTTTTGGCAGAATTCAGTGTCAGATGTTTGTGGCTTTTTATGCGTATGTTAACAAACAATTCTTCGTAAGTTTATTTGGATTTATAAAGGGCTGCCAGGTTTATGAATTTGTAATGAAAAATTTTTTAAAATGATTTAAATAATTTAATTAAAAAACAAGGTAAAAAGGAAAAATATTGAAAAGGCAATTATGGAAATTAATTATATAAATTTTGCATATCTGTTAATATTCCCAATTAAAAAAATTAAAATGAAATCTTATATAAAATATATATATTTATATATATATGTATTAATATATATATATATTTATATATATATGTATTAATATATATATATATTTATATATATATATATTTTTATATATATATGTATTTGTATACATATATGTATATGTATTTATTTTTCAACTTTTTTTCACAAAGGGCATCAGTAGCTTCCATTTGTATGTAACCTGATAAATGTCGGTAAAGATAATATAAACGAAAAAAAAACTTATAGTATTGCCAAATTTTGTACGTTTCACCCATATGAACTTACAAAAAATTATAATGGGTTTGCATTGTTATTATTGTTACATAATAGGCTATGAATGCACCAGACCTAAAAGATTTATTGTGCGCCTAAAAGCCCAACCAAACCAATTCTAGACTTTTTATAAATCTTGCTTTACGCTTTATTTCACCTATTCGATATCTTTCGAATATCTTGCTTCAAAGATAGTCAAGTCTACGTCTCGCCACTGCTGGCCAGTTGCATAGAACATGTTCTGATGGTTCCTTCTTCTCATAACAGAGTCGATAGGAATCACTTCTTACCGCACCTATGTTCTTCATGTGGTAATTGAGTCAACAGTGTTCTGTAAGTTCAGTGTAGAATTTAATATAGGTTTGCATAGTAAACTCAGTATTTAATAAGCATATATATTCAGTTTGCTTTTGTGTAGTAATTTTACAAAACTAAAGCCTTGAATATCCTAATTGCTAAAAACAATTTAACATGCACATATGTTTTTATTAAAAACATATATATTTTGTATAAAAATTGTTAATAAATATATATAAATTAATAATTATAATTATATTTATAAATATTTTTGATTAATACTTCTATGTATATAATATATAATGACCCTAGGATCTTTAAGTATAAATTAACTTCACATTTTTAAAATGCATTTTTTTATGATTTACAATAAATTAAGAAAATGTTTAGCATAATCTGCGATATGCAAAACTCCATACATCTCAGTTGCTATATGTAAGTTATTGCCATTAACCATTTCTGTATTAATATGTGGATTATGCAGTTCGGTGACGAGTGTACTGCACGCAGTTGAGGAGTCTCCAGATGATTTAACATGTTTCTAAAGATTATTATAATATTATTATCAATTGTCAAAACTTTATTTCATTAATCAAAACTCACCATCCAATACTCATTACCAGGCAATGAACCACCATCCCAAGCGTATGAAACAATTAATAACTTATCTTTATGCTCATAAGGCTAAATTTAATATTTTGTTGTTAAAACGATTAAAATTTTAAAACTCTTTTTTTAATACTCACCAATTTATCAGCTGGATTACGGTTAGACAAATAAGTTGTAATTCCTCCTTTAGGGTGTGCTTTAGAAGCTATTAAACCACGATTTTTTAGTTCGCCCCATTGTGTTAGTTGAAACCATGAAAAATGGACTACTGCAATATGTGGTAGCCTTTCAACTAAAACATTTAAACGTTCCGTAAATGTTTCTAGAAATATTTTCTCCTGCTGTTCGGCAACTCTCCACACTCCTAAACCAATACCCACAACATGTATATAAGCACTTTTATTTGCTTTGGCTGCTTTTGCTTCACTTTCCAGGAGTAGTGTATCAAATGATATAGCATAACGTTTTTTCATAATAAGATTATCGAATACATCTTCTGAGAGAAAACAACTACCAAATCGTTGACCATTTTTCGATACATCTGTATAACGAAAATCACGCTCTTCATAAAACTCCTTCCATATCCGTCGATAGTCACTATTACGTGCATCAACATGATTATCTACTGCCTCACCATAACCATTCTGTTTGGTGTTTTGCGTTTTGGATATAATAATATCTTGAAACTCCATAACATTACGCTGACATAATCGTGCACCGATAATACCCATAATAACACCATCTCGCTCTATCTTTGATTTATTTTTTTCTATAAAGCCAGCATTTCGGCGATTTCCATCATTTATGAATTCCGTATGTGATGAAACTGATAATAATGCTGAGACCTATATTAAAGAAAATGGTATAATCAGTAAATGCATTGGATTATACACGTTATTTTTTAAGTTTTACCTTGACTTCATCATAACTGAGTACATTTTCGAGGGTTAATGGTAACTTTTCGTTATCTGTACCAACTTCCATAAAACCCCCATAGCCTCTTTCTCCAGTTAAGAGCAAATATTTATCACTTACATTATAAAATGAAGCGCAACGTTTACCTAGCAGACGTTGTACGAAGTCGGTTAGAGTTAAATTCGTGTAGATTTTTCGTTCTTGTCTATTACCTTAAAAAATCGGGTTTAGATTTTGAAGATGCATTATTTTATTATAACTATAAATTTGTATATAATAATATATATATATATTATTTGTATATAATAACAATAATAACAATAATAATTATATATATGTTAATAATAATTGTATGATATAATAATAATTATATAAAATAATAATTATGTAATATAAAAATATGAATGTATTATGTGACTATATAATATATTTCTTTTATTTGCAAAAACGACAAAAACTGTATTTGATATATCAAAATATATTTATATCTTGTCTTAAAATGTATTTAAAAATATATATATTAATATCTTGTCTTAGAATATATTTTAAGATATGTATATTTATATCATGTCTTAAAATAAGTTTTAAAATATATATATTTAAATCTTGTCTTAAAATATATTTTAAGATATGTATATTTATATCTTGTCTTAAAATGTATTTTAAGATATATATATTTATATCTAGTCTTAAAATAAGTTTTAAAATATATACATTTAAATCTTGTCTTAAAATATATTTTGAAATATATATATTTATATCTTGTCTTAAAATATATTTTGAGATATATATATTTATATCTAGTCTTAAAATATTTTTTAAGATATATATATTAATATTTTGTTTTAAAATATATTTTAAGATATATATATTAATATCTTGTCTTAAAATATGTTTTAAAATGAGTTTTAAGCTATTTCTAATCATTTACAAACGAATACTTTTAATATAATTAGATTTCAATTTAATAATTTGTATAATTTTGTGCATTTAAATTAAATGGTTGGTTTAAATTGTTGGTTTAAATTAAATAATTCTTTAAATTGCTTACTTTGGCAACTCTATTCTATTTACTACTTGCTTAAAAAAAAACTTTGAGAAAAAGCTTTTGCCATAAATTGAATTTTGCAGCCTTTTTTGAAAAACATTTTTAATAAATAATAAATTTATACTATAAATTAAATTGATATCGTAAAGTTGTATAGTACTATGAAAAAATAAAACAAAGTAAATAACATTTATAAACGAATTCATTTTCCAACACTTTTTTTTCTAAAAGAGTCTAAAGTAAAGAATAAGTAAATAAGCTTTTGCATTGTTTTGGTTTTTGTTGTCAATATCTCTTGTGAAATAAATTATAAGAGAATATTGTATGAGTAATGCTTTGCAATTTGCAGTATGAAAATTCTTGATATTGAAATACAGGTGAATTATGTTTTCTACTTACCATATTTTGATTTGTGCTCAAGAAATGCTAAATATAAGCCCAGAGTAAGTTCATGAATTACTGGATAAGCTGAACCAATTTGCTTTTGTATGATTAAAAGCCGGTCCTTTGGTTGATTCCTCACTCTACAGCTATTTACGGCAAACTTAGATAAAAGCAAATATTTTTATCAAAATTAACAATCGAAATCGTAGTTTTATTTTGTTATAATTTTACCTCAAGTGGAAATTTGTTTGATTTGTTAATAAATTCATTAATATCAGTTTTGTTAGGATTTGGTTTTTCTACTTCAACACATTTTAGTAACAAATTTCTACCAAAATCGCTTATTTTTAAAGAATAACCCGGCTTTGGCCAAATTTTATGAAAATCACTTCCAAATGCAGACATGATAAATTATTTTACAAATTTTATTTTCTATACTTTATAATAATTTAATAAATATATTGATTTGTTATTTATATTAATATATTTTTTATATTAATTAATTATGCTTATTTTTATTTATTATATTTCGAACTTTTGAAAGAACCATGCGATATGAAACCGTGACACTGAATGAGAAACCGTCCATTGTATTTATTATTTATATTTTGTTGTATGGTTAAAGTTATTCCGATCTCGGTTACTTCTCCCCACTCTTTGAGAGCTTAAAGCTCTTAAATCTCATTGAGGAAAAAAATCTTTTTAATACAATAACTTCTTAGGAAAATAATAACGATATGATGAAATGTTTTTTATATTTACATTTAATATCAATATTGAATCAATCTCTTAATACACAGTTTAGCATTTACACGTCAGTTAATAGATTTTGACATACTTTTACACAATTTCATGTATAATTTACAAAATATGTTCTTTGTCTAATTTACTGCATATATATATGTATATAATGTGGAAAACCCCATTTTATATTTCAGTTTAACTGAAAATGCAATTGATAATTATAAATCTTCAATGTTTATATCGAGTTTATTGCTTTATATTTCAAATCATTCTATAACAGATGGGTTGGCTTCTGACCTTATCAACTCCGATTTGCTAAAATTTTAGCTTTTATATGACCGTTAAAAAAAATAAAAAGATTAATATTTTGGACCGTATCTAAATCCCAAACGGTTTTATAAATTGCATTTTAGACTTTTTTTAAATGGCTATATCTCACGGTTTGCTTATGGTAGAGATTTAAAGTTAACTGTGCTTTAAACATTTGGTAATTGATTGGGACAAATATTTAGCGTAAAAAACTAAAATTGTTTGTATTTAAATACGAATATTATTAGGTTAATTTTAAGAATAACGTTTAGGTTAGGTTAGGTTATACTGGCCATTCCTGCTGGAAAACTCAAGGTTTAAAACCACCTAGAACCTTTGACAAAACCTAAAATGCTATTTAGTGTCAGGTCTTGTAATTGATCAAGATCCTCAAGAAAGGGCGCTCTTAAAGTGTTGAGGCACCGCACAGTGTAACAAAACACAAAATTGGGCGGTCAAAATTCGATAATTTCGAAACCAGTAGAGATATTGATATGAAGTTTTTGAGATGAACTTTCTTTTAAATCTAGTTTGAGCCCAATCGGCCTACCGGAACCCCCCGAAATTTTTGTCCAAACATGGGGCATTTAGCGTAGTCCCAAGATTACTTAAAAACTATTGTAGGTAGAAAGCTGAATTTTAGTGTCCGGAAAACTTATATTATTATCTAGATTAAAAATTTTTTTTTATGGTTTTCCGTCCACTGTCACACCCACCCCCATACAAAATTTTCATATTAAGTTGTTTATTATCGTTAAAAAAACTTTTTACACTTATTGGACTATATATATACATGACGTACATAGCAACACAACTTCGTGCAAAAAAATGGCGGATCACGCCCATTAGTTCCTAAGTTATTTGCAGTTTTATGCAATTTTAGCGATATTACGACTTCGCAAAAATTGAACCAACTTTAAACCTTTATAGCTTTTTACTATTTATTTATGTATTATGTAGACTCTCTAATGAGACTTCTTCCCCTCGGGGAGCGGTTCTTTTATGTTTTTATTTTAAACCATCCTCTATGTATTTACAATCTGCATCCAAGCCTCCAATTTTTAACAGCAATTTTCCGGTAGCTGCCTTACTTTCGAGTATTACTATTTCTGTTGTTTTTTTCTAGGTTTAATTTTTTCGCTTTGAGAACTTATTTGTTTATTTCCCAGTTCTCCAGAGTCGCTTCCTTACTTTACTTAAAACTGGACATTTTTAGGATGATACTATGTTTCGACATAATCAAAAAAAAACTAATTAATCCCGCATATGAAATGCATATGTGCGATATGAAATATCAAACAATATACCACAATAATTTGTTTTTTATTTCTGATTTGGATTAGACTTAAAATTGAAATTTTTAGGGTGGTATCATAATAAAAAGCAGTTTTAAAAAAATTAATCGATTTTGTGTATGTGCATGTAATAAATTTTCTACCTATTTTAATTTGAAAATAGAAATCTAGTGACCTGTCTGTCTGTAAACTAGTCTCTCAGTTTTTATGATGAATATTTGCTTGAAGAATCAAAAATAGATCATTTACTTTCTATCGGCTTTATTTGAACTAAATAATAGTATCTCATTTATCTGATTTCTTGTTCTTATTTACTAATAAGAACAAGATATCTACTTATTTAGACATTTCATTTACTTTGTTTTCTTTATAATATTTAAAGCTTGAGAATGTGTTGAGCGAATTCTGCGATGTGCAAAACTCCATACTTCTCAGTTGCTATATGTAAGTTATTCCCATTAACCATTTCTGTATTGATATGTGGATTATGTAGTTCGGTAACGAGTGTACTGCTGGCATTTGCTGAATCTGAAGAGTTTTGTATGCATCTCTTAACAGATATAAAAATTATTTTATGTAATATTATAAATAACAATTAAATATTACCAGCCAATATTCGTTTCCAGGTAAAGAACCACCATCCCAAGCATATGAAACAATTAGTAAGTTGCCTTCATGCTCATTTAGCTAAAATCGAAATAAAATTATTTTAAAAATGAAATTTCGAATAAAAAATTTTATGCTAACCAATTTATCAGATGGATTACGATTTGACAAAAAAGTTTTTATACCTCCATTTGGATGTGTTGTAGAAGCTATACACCACCATTTTTTAATTCACCCCATTCGGGTAGATGAAACCATGAAAAATGCAGTACTGCAATATGTGGTAACCTTTCAATTAAAACATTTAAACGTTCCGTAAATGTTTCTAGAAATATTTTCTCTTGCTGTTCACCCACTCTCCACAAGCCCAAACCAATACCCACAACATGTATATAAGCACTTTTATTTGCTTTGGCTGCTTTTGCTTCACTTTCCAGAAGTAATGTATCAAATGATATAGCATAACGTTTCTTCATAATTACATTATCAAATATATATTTATCTGTCATAGCACTACATCGCTCAAATCGTTTGCTATTTTTCTTTATTTTTGTGTAGAGAAAATCAGGTTCTTCATAGAACTCCTTCCATATACGTCGATAGTCCGTATTGCGATCATTAGTTTTAGTTTTTACTGCTTCACCATAACCGTTTTCTTTAGTATTTTGATTTTTAGATATAATAATATCTTGAAATTCCATTACACCAATTTGACACAATCGTGCACCAATGATTCCAATAACCACACCATCTCGTTCTATTTTTGATTTGTCATTTTCGACAACTCCAGCATTTCTTCGATTTCCATTGTTTATGAATTCTGAATGTGATGAAACTGTTAAAAGCGCTGAAAGCTATGTTTGAGAAAGTACGAAACTCATTATTTTTTAATATGTATATCTTTTTTTTAATAGATAGGTTTTGAACAGTAGTGAACTATAACAACAAATTTATTTTTATTATTTTAATTCATTGAATTTTTGGATAACCAAACGCTGTATGGAGTATTACCAAATACCCATTATCTATGGGTTCGAAACCTCTCTATTAAATACAATAGTTTCAATTAAGGGAAATAGTCACTGTCGTCATAATTAATATTAAACTGCAATTTAATATATCCTTTTAATTTTACCTTAATTTCATCATAACTCAGTGTATTTGCAAGCAAAAGCGGAGGTTTTTCATTATCAGTTCCAATTTCCATAAATCCACCGTGACCTCGTTCGCGGGTTACAAGTAGGTATGTATCAGTCATATCGCAAAATGCAGCACATCGTTTAACCAACAGACGTTGTACAAAATCCGTGAGTGATAAATTCGTAAATATTTCTCTTTCTTGTTTATTGCCTTGAGATATAAAGAAATCAGATAAAGAGCCAGCATTTTGTTTTCTACTTTCATATTTTAAAATCATGTTTATACATTACGATTTAGTAAAATTAAAATATTAAATACCATATATGTTAAATATTATAATTGAGTTATAATCCGTGTTTAAGAAAATAAAGAAAAGCAAGAAGATTGATTACACTTCTCCACTTTCAAATACTTAAGTATTGATAGTACCAAGATAGAGCTGCTTAAGATGAAGATTCAGTGGTATCTATAAAAACGCAATAATAATGCAATAAATTTATACTTCATAAATTTTAAGGGACAATTTTAAACTATTAATAAATCTTGTAATTCCTGTGGGCTTAATTTTACCTATTTGCTTTACCTATATGCCTCTAATTGCAAGAAGATATTGAAATGAAGAAAAAGTCGGGTACAATGTTTGGCAGATATTGGCGAATGTGAACTCGAAGATTAAAATTTACGAGCAATTGGTTAGTGCCATTTGATTCGCTTCTATGATTTTTACCGAAGACTGGAAAAGAAGTGAAAAGTGCTAAAATGCTAGTATGTCGTTTGATAATATGAAAAGAAAACATTCTTTTCATTTTAACTGCTTTTCAACTAGTAGTAGTCGTAATATCGTGAGCTAGAGAACTAGTTTTTGAATAAAGATGAAATGGAAAGATCATGCTGGTTTTATGATCATCTTCAATAATTGCACGTTCCCTTTTAAAGAACTCAATTAAAAACTATTGTTTTTGAAGGAACATATTAACATAACACATTTACATGTTCAGTATGAATTTCTATTAGTAATTATAAATCAATTGTGGAGAGATTAAATTTTTTTGATTACTAAAAAATAAAATGACTCATCCACTTCAAAAAGCTAGTATTGGAGGAATATATTAGTAGACTGGTAGGTTTTACCTAAATACCGGAAAGATGATCGTCAAATTTTTAGTTTTACTATTAACAAATAGATGGTGGTCCGCAAAATAATAAACTATTATATAAAAAGAGAGAAAAGATATAATATTGTTCTGTTTTGCGAAATAGGTTAGTTTGTTCAAGAGAAGTCTAATTGTATTATGACATTAACTTACATCA